CGGGTTGCCGAGTTCCTTAGAAACTTTATTTTGACAAATTATGGAGAGGATTTCACTGGAGAAATTGTGTGGGGGGGTGTTAAATTCTTGAAGCCTACCCACTACCACTATGTATATATATATATATATATATATATATATATATATATATATATATATATATATATATATATATATATATATATATATATATATATATATATAACTCTGGCATGATTACCAGATTGGAGACATGTCAATGAAATTGAAGGTAAGATTCTGCCATTTCTAAAGGGTGAACTTAAAAAAAAAAGTATTTACTCTTTGTCAATTATTTTGAAACTTGGTACACATATACCATATAACTTAAGCGAACTTTTCATAAATATAATGCATTGAAATATTTGCTTTGTTTGATCGTAATGATGCAAAAGGCAAATATTATTGACACATTTTTGCATAATTTATGCAAATTGATGCATCTTTTGGTCACGTGTAACATTTCAAAACGGAACAAATCATCATCAATCGATAGCCGAAGTCATGAGCTTTCTAAAGATGCATTATGCGCTTAAAAGGATCAAGTACTCACAGAGAAAATCGCATCGGAACATATCACACCTATTTATCACGTGAACAGGCCTGTCGAGAAAGAGATGTGTATTGATTAACTCGAAATTTATTATCTGGAGCCTATATATAATGTATTGTGCGGCTTGCTAATGCTTCGTATTATTGTTATATACTTTTCTTTATCCTGATGATGACTGAAATATAGTCGAAAGGTTGATAAATATAAAAATGTTATCGATCTTTGAAGTTACACTTGTTTTATACATTTCTTCGTTGTACATTTCACGCTCTGCGTCAATTTGACAGTTGACAGTCTTTGTTTATTAGATTATATTTATTTATCTTAAATATTATAAAACAGGAAGTCATGAAATTTAAAAAACAAAATAAATAGAGCTGCTGAATTTCTGACGAAGGGCTTTTCTCGCAACAGCTTGGAATGTCTGAATGTTTCGTTTCTCAAATTTTCGGCAATATATATTTTACTTTAATTTAATTTAATTTATTCGATAAGCCTCGTAAGACTTAATAGAGGCCATAATTTACAAAATCAGGAAATTGAAGCAAAGCTTTACATATAGCGCATGAGTGCTGTGGAATAAATTAAATAAATCTTTCATTACATGCAAGATTTTCATTACTTCGCCTCTTCTCTCAGTGAGAGTTATGTATAATATTCTATAAATTCTACTGTTTATACAGGGTGTATAAAAAAAACTGAACAGATTTGAAATTGCTCTCAATTTCGCAAAACACCTATTTGTATCCGTTTTTTATATATAGCTTCTTTGGATACTTATAATGTAGAATAATGAAAAAAAATTCTCAAACTCAAATTTTTTGAACCAGGGGGAAGTGTCTTTTCCAACAAACTAAAAATGGCTCGCGCACAAAATTTAAAAGTTGTAATCATAATTTGAGATAATAGATGAAAACTTTGTTAGTTTTCAATTACTGTGCAAAATTTTAGACAATTTGATTTAGTTTAAGCCCTTTAACTATTCATTTTATTCTAAAGAATCAGCCTTTCGCATGCTTAATTAATGCCTTCACCTAATTTGCATATTGCCAACTTATGCAAATTAGGCAAAAGCATTAATTAAGCATGCAAATAGCTGATTTTTAGGAAAAATGTAATTTTCGTGAATAGTTAAAGGGCTTAAACTAAACCAAATTGTCTGAAATTTTGTACAGTAATTAAAAACCCGACACATTTTCCATCCGTTAACCCAAAATATGATTACAACTTTTAAATTTTGTGCGCGAGCCATTTTTAGTTTGTTGGAAACGACACATCCCCCTGGTTCACAAAATTTGAGTTCAAGAATTTTTTTCATTATTCTACATTATAAGTACATAAAGAAGCTATATATAAAAAAAACCCGGATACAAATAGGTGTTTTGCGAAATTGAGAGCAATTTCAAATCTGTTCAGTTTTTTTATACACCCTGTATATCACACCCTTCCTGTAAATCAGCTTTTAGTTTTGCGAGGCTAGCGTGTTTTCACCAAAACAAAATTGATTGATGACTATCATCATGATGATGATGATCACTTTGCTCCATTCAACTATTCAAGTGTTCAAAAACAATGAGAGCAGGTGCCCTTTGCCTTCTTTTGCCCTAGATTACCACAAGCATTTTTTTTTTATAATGCACCTCAACGACCATGTTGGACGAATATTATTTGTAATTCAAAGGATTGGAGTGCAATTTAAGTATAGTCACTGGGTTACTCACGCTTACAGCACTCAAGCACTCTACTCGGTAAATCCAAAATCTTAACTATACTGGCATATAATCTCATTTCATTGTCGCTAATATGTCAAATTATCTCATCAGCCAAGCACATAGAAACAAAAACACTCACCACTCAAACCAAATTATGTTTCAATTTAAAAAAACTTTCGATTTGAATAAAAATTTTCTCTTCACATCCGCTTAGTTTAACATAAGTGAAATAAAATAAGTTGTATCTTTATGACACGAAGATTATAAAAATCATTAACCTATTTAGAAAAATATATAGCAAATAGTAAGGAAAGCCAAAAACCTCAAATGTGAGTTTGCGTCATGATTGGGGACGCAAACAATCAAAATCGTATGCTTCCATACAGGCTCACTTTTTAATCATATACAGAGTCTGCTTGCAGTCTGCATGTATCAGAAAAAATAGACAATTTTGAAACGGGTCTCAATTTCACAAATACGTTCATGTCACGAAATATTTGATAAATATAGATTTTTTGGGTAATTATAATGTAAAATAACAAAAAAATGTTTGTAAAGATAAATTTTATTTCCAGAGCAGAGGGATGTCTTTTTTAGCAGCATTAAAAATGGCTTGTGTGCGAAATTTTAAACCTTAAAACGCATTTTTGAGTTCTTGGCCAAGAAGCTTGTTATGTGTTTTATTAATAGTTTAAATATTAGAATATTTGCTAAATTTTCTGTTCTTTAAATATTTGTTCAAATGTTCATTTTTTGGCACCAATGCCTTTCACGCATGCTTAATTTATGCATTTACCTAATTTGCATATTATTATTTTACTTTTTTTACAATCACATTATGCAAATTAGGTAAATGCATGAATTAAGCATGCGTGAAAGGCACTGGTGCCAAAAAAAGGAGAGTTTCAGCAAGCATTTAAAGTACTTAAAATTGAGCAAATGTTTTGATGTTTGGACCATTAATAAAACACATTGTAGAATCTAACAAATACAGATTGAACCACAAGATAACTGATTGCAACCACACTAACCAAGTATATATTTTAGAATACAAATAACCATTCCTTATATTTACATGGTACTTCCACATGGTGCTTCCACTTATTATATTCCATTGCACTTCATAATATAATAATATGCTAAATATCCTACATCCCTTTCTTTTTTCAAATGTTTGAAAGAGTTTTTTTAAAAGACAACTATAATATACTAAATTCTACCTATAATGTTTCTAAATTTTAGCAAAACGTTCTAAATACAAACTGTCTGTCAAACGTTCGACTTTTGCAAACTAAATGTTTATTTCATAACATAATCTCCATATCTTTTTGGCGCATGTCTGGTACGCACAGGTCTTGGGGATTTGACTGGCAAAGTTTCTGCTGTTTGGTTAGAGTCTCCACTTGGCACTCGTCCATCACGATCACCTTGCGATGATGTTTCCCCTGCAGGCGATGTTTCTCCCTCCGCGGAGGTATTTCAGGTACTGTCGCTGACATTTCGATTTCCTCTGGACCATTTTCTTTTTCCTGGAACGCTTTAACATGAGTAGAGTTTCTTTTATACTGAACACCTTGGGGTGACTCGACCAATACACTGTTCCCGTGTTTATCAATCACTTGATACGGTTGAATTTCAAACGCTGTTGTCCACTTGTTGGTGCGCTGCTGTCTCAACAGCACTTTGTCTCCTTCTGATAAATTGCTCTCCTTGGCATTCCTTCTTTTTTCAGCATAACCTTTCATTTTCTCCTTTTTCTCTCTGTCTTTGTCTCGCATTTCTTCATCCAGGTTAACATTTTCTCTCAGCTCTGGAAGTTTAGTTCTCAATTTTTTTCTGAACATCAATTCAGCAGGACACATCCCTGTCGTTGGATGAGGTGTATTTTGATAAGCAATCTAATACGTTTGCACTGCTTTCATCCAATCCTGTCCTTCCTCTCTTGCTATTTGCGTCCTCTTGAGTAGAGATCTGTTCTGGCGTTCGATCTCACCGTTTGCTTGGGGCCACAACGGCGTTGTTTTCCGGTGGTCAATTCCGTTCTCTTGCAGGAATGATTCGAACGTTTCTGCAACGAAATGAGTACCTTTATCGCTTGTCACTGTCCACGGTAGTCCATGGGTTGCAAACATGTTTTCCAAACTTTTAATGGCAACTTCAGCCGTATTTCTCTTCGCAATAGTCACCTCTACGTATCTACTGTAGCAATCGGTTCCAGCAAAAAATAATCTTCTGACGGCAATGGACCCATGAAATCGATAGCGATATCTTGCCATGTTCCCCGGGGTAATTCTGTCATTCGCAATGGCTCTGGATTAATAGGTCTACTCACCACTTGACATCCATGACACGTTTTGCAGTACTTTTCCGCTTCTTGGTCAATCCCCTGCCACCAGACTTTTGTACGCAGTCGTTGTTTTATCTTGAGAATCCCTTGATGACCCCCGTGGCCTAATTTAATCACTCTTGGTCGGAGTTTCTGTGGTAAGACCATCCGTGTACCTCTCAAGACAATCTTTTCAACAATTCAAAGTTAATCACGAACTGACTTGTAACTAGCGCACTTGGGACTGTTCCAATTTCCTGTCTCGATACATTTACGAACAGTCATTAATTCTTCATCGCATGGAGATGCTTCTTCAATTTCTCTGGAAATCATATGGCTCTCGGAATTGCTGTCTTTGCAACAAAACTGATATAATCTTCAGCTATACTTCTGGACTTCACCTCTCCGATCTTTGTCAAACGTGACAACGAATCTGCAACATTTAAATGCCCTGGCAGGTATTTCACTGTTAACGAATACGGTTGCAGTCTCAAACCCATCTCTCAATCCTCGCTGATGGTCTAGAACGAGTTGAATATATACATTCTAAAGGTTTATGGTCAATCCACAGTTCAATCTGTCTTCCGTACAAGTAGACGTGAAACCTTTCGCATGACCACACCAATGCTAACGCCTCCTTTTCAGTCTGCGAGTATCGTTTTTCGACCTCGGTAAGATCTCTGCTGGCACATAACAAATGAGTCGATCCTCTTCTTTGTGCTCTTGTAGTAAAAATGCCCCTAGGCCAACTAGACTTGCGTCAGAAATAATCTTGGTCTTCGCGTCTCGATCAATATAACTCAAGGTTTCCGCTTGTGCAAGCTTAATTTTCAGTTCTCTAAACGATTCTTGCTGCTCAGGACCAGAAACAAATGGTACTCCTCGCTTCGTCAATCGTCTCATTGGCTCTGCAACGGTTGCGAGATTTGGAATAAATCTTGCATTGAAATTCACCAAGCCCAAGAAACTCTTCACTTTTGTTAAATTCTGCGACTCTCGAGCTTCCACGGCCGCTCTGATCCTTCTCTAGAATCTTCCTGCGCAGATCACTCGACCGACACCTGGAAATAATTTGATCCCTGATCTGAGACTCCAGCTGATCTCCATAATAACACTGCTGAGCTTTACCTCGCAAGCGTACAGCAAACTGATCAATCGTTTCGTTTTCATTCTGTGCCATTTCTCTGAACATGTGTCGCTCATACGAAACATTGCCTCGGGTGACAAAATGTCTGGTTAAAGCTTCTTCTCGTATTCTTTTGCGCACCCCGTCTCAGGCAAAACATCGAAAATATCCTGGACATTCGATCCAGCACAATAAAGTAGAAGTGCTCGTCGCTGTACCATATTGTCGTCTTTTCCGGCCTCAATAATAAGTCATTTACCGTCAGCATATAATTAAAACTGCGAAGCTATCGCTTCCATTCAGACCCAACACTGTTCGGATCACTGTTCACATCAAACGGTCGAAATCCTCCGATATCAAACTCTTTTGAACTAATTTTCGTTTAAAATTATAGTTCAACTATTTAAGACATCAATACAAATCAATACAAATATATTAACTCGTCCCCAATGGTGCTTTTCAGAGATAATTAACGAATACAATTAATTCTAAGTTCTAATGCAAGAAAAATTTTACTGACCTATTTTCCATCAATAACTAATTACTGAGAAATTCATGCAAGAGTTGTTTCTTAAGACTACATCCTCGTCGCCAATTGTAGAATCTAACAAATACGGATTGAACCACAGGACAACTGACTACAACCACACTAACCAAGTATATATTTTAGAATACAAAATGGCCGCCTGCCATTCCTTATATTTACATGGTGCTTCCACATGGTGCTTCCACTTACTATATTACATAACACTTCATAGTATAATAATATGCTAAATATCCTACACACATGATCTCAAAAATCTGGTACGATTTGTGAAGTTGAGAGCTGCTTAAAAATTGTGTGCTTTTTTTCTGATACACCTTGTATAGGATAGTACGGGCAAGTTATACATTTTGCTTTTAGTGCAAATATTTTTCTAGAAGCGTACAATTTAATCACTGCATTTAACCGATTATCTTTATAGTTTTGAATATGACTCAATCTTCGAGTGTTGATTACTTGACATTAAAATGCAACCTTCTAAAAATGTGGATGCCAGTCAGAGGGGTGCGGACACCGGCTGATTTATGGACCAAGAATTTCGAGAAATATTGTGGCAAACAGGTATATTGTGCGATGCAGGATTGGCTAAATCGAAGTTTTAAAGTTTTTCTTTTCGAACCACATTTTGAGAGTTATTTTGATAGTCACGCACCATTTGAATTCGATAAAGCAATATTGTCGGGAAGCTGCAGCGAAGGTCTTTTCCTCTATTCTGCAGAGCCACCGGACATGGATTTCATGTGTGTGTTAAAGAATATCATGTTCACATTGGAGGATCAACAAAATGGCTGCTTATGGTCAAGAGAAGATACACCTTTTGTTGACGCATTTATCACAAACAAAGGAACACAAAAATTGTGGAGTGCGTTTCATGACAATGCGGAAAAAGGAACAGGAAAGCATCGATTGTCTTCAAGAAAATTAAAAGAAAAGCTACAAGAAAACTATCAGAAAACAGGTAACATATTTTCTGCTATATTTGGCAAGGAAGAACAATCCGAAGAGGTAACGGAAGGTGCGGCAATGACTATCAGTAAGCCAGAATCAGCTATCTCTTACTGTGATTGTTTGGTGGAATTCCTAACCAAGTTCTTAAACAATCCAATAAATGAACAATTCGATGCGGATAAAGAATATTTGGAGAGTATCGCCGGTTTGCCTGATTTACTCTATACAAGAATTGTCCAGGCCAGTGATATTGTGCTCGCCATATTCTGCGAAGGGTGGCCATCCTGTGCACGAGAATGGATTACGCGCAAACGGCAATGGCCAGATATGCATTCGGTGGACACAATCTCCAATAGTGGATATCACATTGTGCCGAAGAGCTCGCCTGATGGAAATTTTCGTTTGTCCTTTTCTTGTGCTGAAACCATGCTGGTTGAATCTCTCATACCACTGCAGCACAGAGTAATGAGAGCTTTTAAAGCTGTGATGAAATATCATGAAAATACCTGGAGTCCAAATCTGAAGAACATTATATCAAGTTATCATTTGAAAACCACGGCATTTTGGCATTTTGAGAAAACTTCACAAGAATCTTGGACCGAAGAAACTTTAGTTCATCACCTTGTCGCATTACTTGAGGAATTAGCAGAAGCTTTGAGAATGCAAAATCTGCCAATGTATTTTATGCCTAAAGTTAACCTTCTCCAAGATGTCGATGCTCCCGATGTTACGCTGGACCTAATGGAAAAGATTTCACAACTTTCGCAGAATTTTTCTGCCATGTCTGAAGGTGTAAACAACAACATTTCATTGAGGGATTTTGTTGGCACTGATTATGATAAAATGTTTAATATTTTCGATATGGTACGTGAAGAAAAATTGAAAAATGCGGAACAAGGTGGGGAAAGATCATTCACATGGTATGACTTGTTCAATATTGTTGGAAACTAAAAAATAATTAACATATGTTAAACTTTTATTCTTATTCTTTCTCTACACTACAGTACTACACATTCCCAAGACTTGTTTGAGGAATTGTAGCCTAGTTCTGAAAAACTAATTTACATAAACGAGTACGAATTGCCATTGCGAAAATATCTAATCTGCGCTATAATTATATTAAATAGAATGTCAGAGTCAAAACACTTTACTTAGATGCAATTTGTGTCCTGTATTTATTATAAATACGTAATTGTAAAGCCAAAACAAAAGTTTCGTGAATAATCATCACTGAGCCTACTATCCACTAGAGTGAAATGCTAACTCACTCGGCTACACTGTATTTTTCTGTTTGTTTTCCGATTGTGCAGTGACTGCACACTCGGCATACCAAAGTCTCTATTTTGAGATTCCTTGGGTATGTCAAACTATAGTTCCAAATTAAGGCTTTCGAAAACAGCGATTTCTATTGCTCGTGTAGCTGTTTGAACATCGATTCCATCGCTTAGCTTTCTTTTTCAACATCTTTAAATATATGAGGCTCGGGAGAACAAAGTCCCCTCCGTTCGATTTGCTTGCCGAAGAACTGTTGGCATGTATACAGGCAAGGTTGGGTCAAAGGTAAGAGCGACATGTCGACTCCAGGGGCGAAACTGGCCCTTTTTAATTAGAATTGCCATGCGAAAGCCGATGATGCCCTGCAGCAAAATTTTTTTTGGCAATTATTTCTCCCAAAAATTTTGGCGCCCGGGGGAGGGGAGGGGGGAGGTCGAAAAAAATTTCCCGGACATAAACCAATTAAATTAAGGGTCAAACATATTTTTTTCGGACAAAAACATGCATGAAACCCCTATTTTTTTACCAATATCTATAAAATTTAGGTCTATAAATTCTATTGAATTCTCTCTGAAATCCCTGGAAGCTACTTAATAACTTTGCCCTGCTAATCCAGATGATTTGTACTTTCGAGGGTGTCACGCCCTCCCCC